GGGAAAGATTATTGTGTCATTTGTTGTTGTTTTAATTAAGTATATTATTTTTATCCCTGCTGCACTGCCGATATCAACTGAGGTTCTGTTTTTGTCACCCATCTACAGGAATATGCATTCACATACATACTTCTGTATCATTCTCTCCGCTTTTCTTAATCACACCTTCAGGAGCTCTGGCAGCATTTCAGCCTTTACCCAGTTATTTTATTTCAATGTATGACTTCTCCCCTTGGGGCGCTCAAAGCTGATACATGTAATTTAAAATGAAAAATATCAAATTGATGAACTTCTGCCAACTGCAAAGAGTTTTCTGCTACTGAATTAATCAGGACCTTTCCAACCGTTGCCCCTAGAAGAAAGTTTCAATTTTAATGAAAAATCCTCATTCGAACTCACTGCCAATAAGCATTCCAATAAGCATTAGAAAGACTTGTATTGGTCTCTGGAAGAGGAACAGAATGATGCAATGGATCTGTTTCCCTATATATCTGTTTTTGAGATATAATATCACTGTCAGTCACCTAAAATATTTCCCTGTTGACCACCACTGTAGTAAGAGAACAGTATCAATGATCTAGCTTGCTTGAGGTATCTGTGTGGCCTACTAGAGCTTACAGATTCTGCTTAATCTGGGCTTTTATTTGAAAAATGAAAAAAAAATATCCTCTTTGTTATGAAGGAGACTATCCAAATGCAAAGCCCATGTGTCAGCATCATCTTCCTGAGCTTGGAGCGAGCGTGAGACGAAGGCCATATGTGATCTGAACTCTCCCAACCCCAGTTAATTCTGTTTTATGACTGGCAGTCCCACTACACCTGCCAGCATTTGCTGTGTTGGTATGGATGGTTTTAGCAGAGGAAATGAGGGGAAAAGGCCTGGGAGTGACAGCTGTGGGAGGTCACTGTTGTGTGCTGCTGCACAGAAGGGAATGCTGCAGAAAAACAGAAGGCCTGGTCCAGAGACTGAGCAGGGAAACAGAGGAGGATGAGGATGGATGAGACACAAAGGGACAGGGAGCAGATCTCCCTGCTGCTGCTGTCCCTGCCCCTTCACATGATGGCAAAACCCCAAGTGAGAGGACAGCAGTCATCAGAAGTATAAGGATTGGCTCATAAAATCACTGGGCATCCCTGGTGTCCAAAATGCTCTGCAGCCCTTGCACCTGAATACCTGACATACACTTCTCTTCACCCCCAGCTTCCTGAGGCTCCACAAAAAATCCCAGCATTAATGCCTTGTGGGTAGCAGCCCAGGGAAATGGTCTGAGGAACAGGAGGGATTTTTTTCAGTCAACACTTGGCTTTTCTTTATTCTCTTCCCTCTTCAATGTCCCAGCAGAAGGGAGAGGATGTAGGGTTGAATCTAGGAGGGGCTGACTGATGCTCCAGCTGTTCTGCTTGGAGTTTGCTAGACCTGGCTTAGACAGAGCATCTGGGATCAGTTTGGGGTTTTTGATTGCTGTCTCCCCAGCCCAGAGATGGGCGGCTGGGTATTCCTGCACCCAGTTCCACGCACGCCCGCGGGAGTCGATGAATGTGTTGTTCATCTCCGCCAACCACTCAGGGGGCTTGGAGAGTCTTTCTGCCTCATGGACTTTCTCGTGTCTCGTTAAACTCGAGGTCTGAATGAAGCCCTTGCCACACAAGGAACATCTGAAGGGTTGCCCTTCCACGTGGGTCCTCTGATGCCTGATGAGGACAGACCGTTTCACAAAGCTTTTCCCGCAGGCCCCGCACTGATGGGGCTTGTTTCCTGCGTGGTGTTTGAGATGTGCAAGGAGGTTTGATCTGTGGGTGAAGCATTTATCACACTCATCACATTTATAGGGCTTCTCTTCTGTGTGGACACTCTGGTGGATCATCAGATCTGAGTCCCGAATGAAGCATTTCCCGCAGTCGCGGCATATGTGGGGTTTCTTGTCAGTGTGGATTCTCCGGTGTGCAAGAAGAGCTGACCTCACACCAAAGCTCTCCCCACACTCTGAGCACGTGCAAGGTCTCATCTCCAGGTGGATCCGCTGATGGGTGAGGAGGCCTCTGCTGTCTCCAAAGCTCCTCCCACAGTCAAGGCATTTGTGGGGTCTCTCCTCCAAGTGGGGTCCCTCAGGAGCCATAAGGGTTGAGTTGGCCTCACCTTCCCTTGAGGTCTCCTTTGGATGCACTCGCTGGTGTCTCACGAGGTGTGATCTCACACTGAAGCTTTTCCCACAGTCGGGGCACTCATAAGGTCTCTCCCCTGTATGGATTCGGTGATGCCGGGTGAGGTCCGAGTTGTTACCGAAGCTCTTCCCGCACTCGGGACATCGGTAGGGCTTCTCTCCTGTGTGGGTTCTCCGGTGGTGAATGAAGTTGGAGCTCTCACTGAAGCTCTTCCCGCAGTCAGGGCAGGTGTAGGGTCTCTCCCCTGTGTGCAGCCTCTGATGGGTGACAAGGTGGGAGCTCACGCTAAAGCTCTTCCCACAATCGCGACAGCTGTAGGGTTTCTCTCCTGAGTGGAGTCTTTGATGTCGCACAAGGGCTGATTTCTGGGTGAAGCTTTTCCCACAGTCGGGGCATATATATGGTCTCTCTCCTGCATCACCTCTCTGGTGACCTGTGAGGTCTGAGCTCGGACTACTGTTCTTCCCAGAAACAATGGGCGTGCGATTCTTTTCTTCTTTTGTCCCTGCTTGGTTTCCGTGCTGCATCTCTTGGCCTTGCTGACTCTCACAGCCTTCTGCTTTCTCAGGGAAAACGTCCCCTTCAGCTCTTCCAGATACCATCCCGTGTGGCTGCATGTGCTCGGGACCCTCCAGCTGGGGATTCCCCCCCTTTGTCTCACTCTCCATCCTGTCACCTGCTGGGACAGAGAAAGAAACAGACCCAAACTGTGGAGGAGATGGAAAAAAATAGGAGGTAAGCCACCCAAATCCTTCTCTAAAGCAGAGAGGTGGAACCAATCCTGCCTCCACATCCCATCCAACCATGCAGGGCAAAGAAAGCGACTGCCAGGTGTCAGCCAGAATAGGAGGGGGACCAGGAGTGACATCTGCCTTTTTGATACAACACCTTTCATCTGCAATCCTGATTTGAGGAAGAGGAGGCAGAACTGGGCAAGATCATAGGGCTTCAGGGTGGGGGGGATCCCAGATGTTAAATGCACTTGCTGGTCATTTCAGAGGTAGTTTGACCGCACCTGGGGTCTCCCGTTTTACGAAGCCCTGGAAATCCACAATGGACAGCTTTTCCTCTCCCTCCATCCAAGAGCCTGTGCTGGGCTCAGGTCTCAGAAACCCTGGCCTGTGAGGAGAGAACACATAGAGGTAGGATTTGTTCTGTTTTCACAGAGTATCTAGTTCAACACATGTTTTTACATGTTTTTAACCTTGTCTTGATTTGCATCAGAGAGCAGAGGTGGGGGAATGGCACATGAAGAAATGGGAACATGGTCATGGGGACCCTCTGGGAGACTCCAGGCATGTCAGCACCATGGCAAGAGTGTCCAGACCTCTTTTAGCTCTATATAATTTGTCTGTCTCTCTGTATCCAAACCTCAGTGTATTCACCGAAGAGTCAGGCCCCAGCCAACAGCAACAATATGTCAGAACAACATGAATAACAATCTTGTCCTGCTCTAGCTCCCTTCTACCGTGGCTCTCTCCTTATTTTATCCTCATTAATATTTCATCTCATGCTGTCCAATGCCAAAACAGCATAGGACCCTCTACCCAGTGGGGACTTGAGGTACCCCTCACCGGACTCAAGGCACGCTCCATAACTTTTGTGAATTTAATATTACAGTGCTTACCTCCTTATACAGGGACTGGCAGTATGGGGTGGGGGGGTACCATTTAGGGAGGAATCAGCTTAAGCTTGGTTCATTTGCTTAGTTTATCTGTGTATCTCCTCATACCTCAAGGCACCCTTCAAAGGATCCGGCAGAGTCCTAAGGTTCCTCACCACCCTGGGTGAAAATCACTGCTCTCACCCAACTAGGATCAGAAATAAACACGATCCTAAACTGTCTCCAGTAACAAGAAACACACACGTATGAGTACACGCATGCACACATGCACCCGCACCCAAGAATTAACTCTTGTACTCATGGAATAATCTCTCTTCCCTTTGGAATAATTCTCTCTTGTTGCCCTTTCCCACCTCTCTCTCTCCCCCTTTCTCTTTTCTTCCCTTGATGGGACCCTTGCTCGCCACCCCATCTCCAGGAGCATTTTCTCCCCTTAGCTGAATTGGCTCCTACCAGCACTGCCCAGAGAGAGAGCCCTGTGTGTGTCAGCGAGGGCAGCAGCTTTGGGTCTCACAGGCGCCCAGGGAGGAGAGACAGGTGTGGAGGGGCTGGGTGTGCAGACAGCTCCTGTGCTGCTTGTCCCAGCTCTTCCCCGAGGTCTTTCCCCATTACCTGGAGTCTCCAGCTCAAGAGCTGCTGTTGGCAGAGCCCGGGGCTGCCCTGGGGGGCTGGTGCCAGCCACTAAGAAAGTCCTCCTGGGGCTGGGCACAGAGGGGTTGATGAAGGTCCCTCCCCAGCACAGACCCCGCTGGGGGAGTAGTGGCTTGGGATGGAGCTGCAGTGTGTGACCCAGGAAGCTCAACCTCCATAGGCTGGACAGAGAGAACAGACAATAAGCCTCCTCCGCTCCAGCAAGCACTAGTCAGGGCCCTCTGGCGGGCATATCAAATGAAATCCTTCTCTGACTTCCCACCTCCTGCAACCCAAGGCACTGTGTAGGAGAGATCTGGCTGAATCCATCCCCCCTGAGCTCAGGGAACAAAGCAGAGGCAGAGCTGAGACTTGGCTTGAGAAATGCGCGATCCTGCTGCCATCCACAGGTCTGGGCAATGCCCTGGCGAATATGCCCATCAGCTCCATGGGCCAGGCTCCTGCAGAGTCTGCCCCTGAGAAGGGGATGGGGCAGTGGGGCACAGGACCGCAGCTTCCCATCCTGGGCAAGCTGCTGTAAAGCAGACAGGTCCCCAGGGCCTGCATGGTGCTGCGGACTCCTCCAGCCTCAAAAAAGAGCCAGTACTGTGGGAAGAGGTTGGCCTACTGTCCCCACCTGCCTTCAGGCTGTGTAGTCTGGGTGACACCCCTCAGAGGCACAGCACTGACTCCTTCGAGCTTTTTCCATCTCTTTCAGCTGACTGAGCATCTTTGCTCCAAAAGTCACACATCCATTTTTCTCTGTCATGTTGCTTCAAGTTCTAGGACCCCGAGATACAAAACTGGGAATGCTGGGCACTAAAGCTACACTGATCTTTTCTTCTGGTACAGAACAAATGACTGGTAAAGATTTGTTTTCACTACAGAGTTTATCCCGCCTCACTCCTGGGTACTGCCCCCACTCAGCTCCCATTCACAACCCAAGCCCGCTCCCCCATGCACCGTGGTATTTTAGACCCAGCTCAGCTGGCCTTATGAGCAGCTAGTAAACTTCACTGCAAGTAAGGAGAAGCGCTAAACCACCCGAGTGCTGCTAGACCTCGAGCACCTTCCCACAATTCCCCCTGCATGCCCAGGAGGATGAAGACGCTGTCCCATAATTCTCTGGAAAAGACTCAGCTCAGCTTCCTGCAGCACACACAAGAGCTATGGTTGTGCCCCCAGCCACACATGCAGAGAGCACAACACCAGTAAGGACACAGTAATTGCAGCAGGACTTTGCAGTGTTGCTGCTACACAAACCACTTTCCTTTAATTCTGCAGTGAAAATATACCCTATAACACAAATTTTTGGCTGGACAAGAGAACATGAAATGACTTCCCCTGTCGGTGGCTTTTCCTTTGTATCTGTTGCAGATTCACCAACTGCAAGTGTTCAGAAATTGTGAGGCCAACCACAAAAAAAACAAGAGGTTGGCTTTAAAATCAGTTGCTTAAAAAAAAACAAAGTAGTAACTTTGGGGTCTTTTTATTTACCTTCTGTTGGTGTAGAAGATTAGAAATATGTTTTTCTTCTGAAATGCATGCTGGTCCACTTAAAGGATTATACCCTTCTATTGCTGGTAGTGGCGGGATCCAAACATTTGAACCCTACTTGTGACATGTATGTGTCAATACAATACCCAATGATGGAGCTGCTGGGGTTTTCACTTTGCACTTTTAAGAAATCCTATACATAATGTCCGGCCACAAAAACACCATTAAAGTTGCAAATTCGAGCATGCAGGGGGCAAAGTCTTACCAGCCCCCAGCTCCCCACACCTTGAAGGCAGTTACTACTGCTGCCACTGTAGCAGCATCAGCTTGGGATGCAGCAGCCTTACAGCAACACCGTGAGAACTTTCCCTGGTACCCTGTTCACCACCACCCCCCACCAACCCACCCCAGCCCTGCGCCTGCCGTGGTAAAGACTCCCTGGAGGGATGTCCCACTCTCTTCCCAACCCCCTGCCTCCCAGATACACCACTGGGGGCAGAGCTGCACCTGCCTAGCTCTCACGGCTGGACAGTGCAGAGCACACCTGCCATGGCAAAGACTCCCTGAAGGCATTTTGGTGCCCCCTCATAGCCAGCACTCTGGACTGGTTACCCACTTGCCCCTGCCTAGCTGGTCAGTGCACAGCATGTTGAATAACTCAAGGTGGGAGGGCACTCTGATGTTGCCCTGTGCAGTTTGAAACCAGTCCCTTCTCAGGGAATGGTTGACCCAATAGCCTTTCTCCAAAAAGCCTACATTGCGTTCCTGCACTAGGGGAGGCAGGGCTTCAAGGGGTATAGGGATGCCTACCCCACCTCCCATGCCTTGGTGTAAACCGTACTTTCTGTGAACATTCAAATTCACAACCACCAAGTCGGGAGCAGCTATTACAGTGCCACAGGGTTTCATTTGCTGTCCCACTCTTACCCTGCACTCATTCACCTGTATGTTTGTCTGAACCCTCAGTTGCAGTTTAGGTGCCTACCACTGTAGACAGACATAACGTTAAACTGAATTAAAAGGCAGGGGCCTTATACTTTAAGAATACCTCTTACATGAACACATACAATTGTTTCATGTGTCCACTACACATTTAAAGTTATAATGGTTTAGCTTGCTTTTAGACCACAATAAAGCACTTGGATGAAAAAGGTACAGGGGACCAGCTCTGAAGTGCTACAGCAGTGGTTTTCCACCTGTGGTCCACGGACCCCTGGAGGCCCACAGACTACATCTAAGGGGTCTGTAAAAGATCTGATCAGTCAATAATATGTGAATACCCACCCATACTTATAATTCAAAGGGGTCTGCACCTCCATTTGAAATTTTTTAGGGGTCCGCAAATGAAAAACCTGTTGTGCTACAGTTTTAAAGTGGTTTAGAAGTTTGTTCACATCCTATGTGCTTTTTTGGATGTGGTCATTCATTACCTACAGCCACCAGGGGACTCTGGTCACTCTTAGGGGATGGGAAGTGTCTCTCTCCCTCTCTCTTCTCAGTATATTGAGTTTAAGCTTCCTGGGTAAGAAATGAAGATATTTTCATCCTTCATGAGGATGAGGAGCTGCTACTCACCCAGCAGGGTCTGTGCTGAGGAGAGATCTTCATTAAACTCACTCTGTGCCCATCCCAGGGGGCACTATCATCAGTGGCTGGAACCAGGCCCCCAGGGCAGCCCCAGGCTCTGTTGACACCAGGTCCTGACCCAGAGGAGGTGGCTTTGTAAAAAAGAAGTGAACACACAGCATGCAGCCCTACTAGTTTACTAGAATCTAGTATTGAGGCACCCTGGGAAAATGAGGGGAAAGCTACACTGGTGTAAATTACCCTGGTGTAAGTGTGATGTGTCCACTCTTCTCACAGGTTAGCATTTCATTCAGTGCAAACAGGCTATTACAGATTTGCCCACTTAGTGATGATGAGGCAGTACAAAGTGGAGCAACTTTAGGAGAGTTGGTCATCTCTTCATGCTAGACACTGGTGTAGCAACCATCCAGGTACAGAACTGATGTAGAGGACACCACTCTTAACACATCGTGTGTCCAAGCCCTGAGACTGATGCACTGTCGTTCAAGGCTAGCATAATGGAAACCAGAACACTGTTATAAGCAGGAGGTAGACCTCACTACTGGTGGCAACTGCAGCACAGAGTGGTCTCAGGTTTAGGCAAAGTGGCTGAGTAACCAAAGTGCACTTGGGTCCAGAGCAGGGTTTGAATGTGCATCAGTGCCAACAGTACAAACTGCTAGTACAGTACTTAAGTTACATGACTGTTTAATAGTTGTTGTTTTTTTAATGGCAAACTCATGAACCTCTTGTGCAGGCCAGGACTAGGTCCCCTTGCAGCATGGGTTACAGCTGGTCATGTGCCTGAGCCCTTGCCTGATGACATAATATCAACCAGGAAGGCAATACATAACAAAATCTATGTTTGTCAGAAGACCTCCCCTTTCCCCAAGAAATCTGCTGAGATGAGAACCAAGATTGTTAGGATCATGATAACCAAGGCTGTTAGGATCTTCCATTTCTGTGCAGACATGGACAAAGGGCTGTTTCCAGGTGAAAATAATCAGCCAAATAAGTTCAAGCAGGTCATTCCTTTCCAAGCCCAGCACTTGCACATCTCCTGGCATCACCAGCTCAAGTGGGCCTATGGGGTTAGTCCTTGGTTTCATCATGGTGAGAAGGAGGGAATCAGCCCCAGTGACTCCAGTGGGGACTTGACACTCCTGCTTTAGAGTGGGATTAGTGAGATGGGAATCAGGGCATTACTGCAATAAGGTAACTCATGATGTATGCCAGGGTGAATGAGATGGGAATCACGTGCAAAGATTTTAGCGACCTGATCTCTTGCAAAAAATGGTGCGGAAAAAGCACAGCTTCCCAGTACATTCGTAAGAGTTTACAAAACACTTAGCAAAATGAGAGTGGGCTGAGTAGCAAAGGAAGAGTTGGGAAAAATTGCAGCTGCTTCTGCTCCTCCAGTTAAACCTGATCTAAGGATTTGTGAGACAAGGGTGCCCTCTTCTGGGTATTAACAGGAGCAGTTCAGCCTGAAGAGGCAGAGGTTCAAGACATCCCACTTTACCCAACCCACCTAAATCAGAGAAGCTGGAAGTGAACCCTGCTTGAGTCAGCTTCCAGTGCACCTGGATCTCTCACTCCAGTGAAGCTGGAGCCTTTTTGCCCTCCCCTGCTGGGATTATGGTGCCCATTAAACCAAGAAACCTGCTGCAGCACACTGAGGGAATGGGCAACAGTGCTATCTAAGGCCAGTGAGGACTTTGATACGGTCCCATCCTACCATCAGAGGCAGGGTCCAGGAAGTGGGGCACTGCCAGGGTAGTGCGGGTGCTGTTCCTGTCTCTGCAATAACTCACTATGTGATATCCAACCCGTTACTTGGGCTAGAGCCATGCAGATACGTAGGTGCTACAGCCCTTCAAGTCTTAGCACCTCACCACCCAGTGGGTGCTCAGCCCCAAGGGGGGTGCCCAGGCTCTCCCCATACAGAGTGTGGGTAGTTAGGTGCCTGAGGGAGGGATCTTCAGAAAACAGTTGAGCAAGGAGTTGCCCAATTGTGCAGGTACAAAATACAGAGGAATAACTGAGGAAGGGGGCTAAGAGCATCACTGAACGTGCCTTGCTGGAGGTCTGGGTGATGCCTGCCCTTGACCTAGGCAGCAGGAGGCCTAAGGTGCAACCCTTGTGATGGGCAGGAAGGGGGATGGAGCTGGACGTTTCTGCAGCATTTGGGAGCTAGTGTAGTGCGCAGGTTTGTTATTACCCTGAAATAAAACAGTTTTCTGATAAGCATACTGTTAGGTTTACAATAATTTAGATTATTAGGAAGTATTAGCTTTACAGCTGAATACAAGACATGACCTGTGGCCTAGCAATGCAGCTGACCACAAGGCAGATTGATAGCTAAGCCTTTGCTTGTGTCAAATAATCATTTTAACTGTATTAAGCATTTTCTGAGTTAAAAGCAGCAAGTATCTCTGTGTCTGTGTGCTGAAAAATCAGCTACAGCAAGAAATAAGATAAGACAGGAAAACCATTGTTCTGGGTACACTGGTTGTGTCCTTGAAAAATATCTACTACTATATAAGGTTTTGCTAACATATTATAATGTTACTGTTACTTAACTTTTAGCTTTAAAAAGTGCTAA